CCCCCCAGTCTGCTGCTGACCCCTCACCCCCCAGTCTGCTGCTGAGCCCCCCACTGCACTCTTTCTGTAGGTTCCTGTGTTTCTCAGTTCTGTCTGGTGTCCCCACAGGACTCTGTCTCCTCTTTCCTTGCTGAGCTTTCTGTTTTTCAGTTGTTCCAGCATGTTCGTAGTGCTCATTGAGTGTTTTTATCCTGACTGTCCTAAAATCATTATCTGACCTCTGTCATCTCCGGATTAGCATTTGTTGATTATTTTGTTCTGTTTCGTATCTTCTGGTTCTTGGTGCGGCAAGTGATATTTTAAACCAGGACAATTTCATATTATGTTCTAGCTCATTCTTTATTTAAACCGTATGTTTTAACGGGCTTTTTTTTCCATCAGTCTTCAGAAGTGGCAGGGGGTCACTGCTGCCTCATCACCGCTGGGTACAAGTTCAGGGTCCCCGTTCTGCCTCCATGAACGCCACGGCAGGGACATTCGCATTTCCGCTGGTGTTGGTGAGAGTGCTGCTTTCCCTCCACCTTGGACACGGGCCCACCGCAGGGCCCCCACCCAGTCTCACTTGTTACCCCCTCGCAGGGATAAAAGTCCTGGCTCCCTTTTCCGATACCACCATGGTCCTTGTTGGGGGGCCTTTTAACTGTGCGAGGGTCAGAGTCTCGGGGCCCAGCTTTGCTGTGGTTGGACTGCACTCATCTCCAGGCCACCCTCTGTCCTGCCCCTTTGGCTGCAGAGCAGGCTCTGTGAACACTTTCCGCCCGTGGCCCTGACACTTGCAGGAACCAGGTCATCAGTTCCAGGTCAGTGGGGTCCCCAAGGCTCCTGTTGTGTCATTCTCAGGTCTGCAGCCCGTCTGCCATCTCTCTCCACCTTCCATAGTCTCCTTGTGTTTGTTTTCTGTGCAATATCCAGGGTGGGGGCTATACTTGGAAACATAGGGAAGATAGGAGTGTCCCATCCTGGCGGAAGAAGTGTTGTATATATTTTTAAGTAGCATGCCTTAATTTTAAAAACGCTTCCCTCCTTGATTAACTCTGTTTAGAAGATCTTACTGAGGTTTAATCTGCAGGACCCAGAGTTCTGCCCTGAGCAGCATAGAGTCCACAATCCAGTATTACTTGTCACGGCGAAGTAACGGCAGAGTCTGTGCCAGTCAAACCAGAGGCGCCACTGAGGTGGGAGGGTGGGGCGTGTCAGATCACCAGGCTTTCCTGTGTTTGTCAGAAAGAGAAAATTGCTGAGTAAACTGACATGCTGCCCACAGTCAGCTGCACGCCAGTTCCAGGGAGGTGAAAGGGGGGCCAGAGTGCGCTTCATGGAGTAGAGTCAGCATGGCATTTCTGGGAGAAGCACTTGTGGGGCGGAGCACGGACAGCCGCGCGTCGGTGGCCACTGTGTTCTGTTGAGTGGCCGTGCTCAGGCTAACGGGCGGACGGTGGTCAGCTCACAGAGCAGGCTCTCCTTTTCCGAGAATGGTGACAGGGCTGTTAAACCCCACGTCGTGTCTCTCTCTTCCTTGCAGGGACAGAGCTGCGTGCTTTGCTATTCAGAAAGGATTACAGGCGTCACGTAGTGACATTCAGTTGTTTAACCATAACGATGTGGCAGACCTGGAGCGACTACTAAAAGAACAAGAGATCGAAGATCAAAAGGTACGATTGTTTGGAAGAAAATGACACCGTTCTTTTGTGCTCTGTAACCAGCTAAATTATATACGAGATTGTAATTCATCATGAAACCTTGCCCGCGGATTGCATTTGGATATGAAGTGAGGGCATTCTTGCTTATTAAATGTACTTCGTGTTAGAGAGCGGTCTGATTGTAATTGCCTCATCATTGCCGTAATTATAGCTGGCAGATGTGGGGAGAGGCAATCCAGGCAGCTTTCTAAAAGAGAGAGAGGGGGGCTCAGTCGGTTGAGCATCCAGCTTCGGCTCAGGTCATGATGTCACGGTTGTGGGTTCGAGCCCCGCATGGGGCTCTGTGCTAACAACTCAGAGCCTGGAGCTGCTTCAGATTCTGTGTCTCCCTCTCTCTCTCTGCCCCTCCCCTGCTCGTGCTCTGTCTCTCTCTGTCTCAAAAATAAATAAGCTGTTAAAAATAAATAAAAGAGAGAGAAACCACGTGCACTTGGCAGTGGGGGGGGCTCGCTCTCCACTCTGTAGAAATAACACCAGAACTCATTAGGGCGCAAGCGGGATGCACTTCATGAATTAAAAATAGATTTATATCAGGATAAATCATGTATCAGCTGGCGGGAAGAGACTGTGGCAGCAGATCCTCATTTATGAATTTATGAGCAAATTGACACTCTCTCTCCCTCCCACCCTTTGCCCTGGAGCTCCGAGCAGCTGCCCCTGTGGGAGCCGGCTACCCCAGCATGACTTCCTCCCACTCTGCAGCCTGTTTACACCTCCTCTTCCCAAGCACCTGCGTGTGCAGAGACCCCAGAGGGGCAGTGGATGGGAGCAGGCGGCTCCTTGGTGTTCTGGTCAGAGGGCAGCGCAGTGCAAGTGTGCTCAGGGCATCCCTGCTGGAGTTCCCACTTCCTTTCCCCCGACGGCGCGAGGCGGGGGGTGCTGTCGGTGGTTCTGCACTAAGAATTGTCATGTTTCCGCTGTGGCTTCTGAAATTTCCCTGAGGGCCCAGCTTGGGTGTTTGGGTTTCTGGTTGTCCATTAAAAGCTTAGAGGTGAGAAACGTTTGAGTAGGAAGACAGTGCCCCGTCCTACGGGTCTGTGTACTTTCCGCCCAGCACACCCGCTGTGTCTGCAGACCCACCCGGGAGCACTGGCCATCCTCGGGCCGCAGGAAGGTGCGTGTCCTTTGAAAGGGTGCCTCCACCACCACCTCACACATGCCTGGATGACAGCACAGTTGAGATTTACTTGACCCAGTAGTAAGGAAGGAAAGGATTTTATCTGCTTTTTGGTAGATGGAGAGCAGGGTTTGTCACTTCAGGTTTTGATCGTGGAAAATCTGAGGCACATTCAGAGGAAGCCCAGTAGTATAATGCAGCCCCTCCTCTCCCTGTTCTGTTACCAGCACCCTGTCATTCCTGTGTCACAGGAGCCCCTGCCGCTTCCCACCTCATCTCTGCGGTGGTGACTGCCTTCACCATTACAGTCCTTTCTAGGGTTTTTTCCCCACCTTTATTCATTTTTGAGAGAGCGTGAGCAGGGGAGGGTCAGAGAGAGAAGGAGACACAGAATCTGAAGCAGGCTCCAGGCTCTGAGCTGTCAGCACAGAGCCCCACGCAAGGCTTGAACTCGAGCTGTCAGCACAGAGCCCCACGCAGGGCTTGAACTCACGAACCTTGAGATTATGACTTGAGCTGAAGCTGGATGCTTAACTGAGCCAGCCAGGTGCCCCAGCTCCTTCTAGTTTAGGTGAATTTCATAGATATGGAAGCGAGCGGATCGTAGCCATACATTCTGACCAGTGAATAACCCAGGTAAGAGGGCTCCGTTGTGACCTAAAACATGCCATCTCCCCAGAAAGTTCCCTTGGGCCCCTTCTCAGTCATTCTCAGAGCATTTTCAGAGTGCCTAAGTTGTGTGCGTGCATGCGTGTGCGTGCGACCACCTAGCTCATGGTGTGAACTGGAAACCAGGAGAGAACGCACTGTTCTTCATCTCAGAGTAATAGGGTCTGAAGCCTCGGGCCTGAAATTCGCCTGGACTCTGTTTACTTGTTTGAGTAAACCTTGTCAGGGAGCTGCGCTAAGGAGCATCTAACACATCCTGCATTTACTGAAATTTAAAATGTCCTTTTTTTTTTTTTCTTTAAAGAACCCTCGCAAGGCCCGGGTCACACGGCGATTCATCGTAGTGGAAGGGCTGTACATGAACACAGGAACGATTTGTCCTCTCCCAGAGCTGGTGAGCAGCCACGTTTACTCCAGAGTTTAGCTGTCGGGCAGTTAGGCCTTTGTTTCTGAGCACTCGTGACGCCTCATGTCTGCATCGCCTTGCCTGGCAGGTCCCAGGAGCACGCTCAGACCGTACCGGGAAGCACATTAGCAGTGTGTGCCAGCCCTAAAGGGGAGTCAGGACTCGGCATTTTAAAACCAACTTTATTGAGGTGTAGTTGACATGCTAATAAAATACACTTACTGTCAGCACACAGTTTGATAAGTTTTGGCAGATTTATACACCCTCCTCACTGCTGCCGCGGTCAAGTTACAGAGCATTTCGATCTCTCCAGAAAGGTCACTCATGTTCCTTTGCACTCAGTTCCTCCAGCCCTGGCCCCAGACTACCATTGATCTACTCCCTGTTCTTGTAGTTTTGATTTTTGTGGAATTTCCTATAAATGAAATTATACAGTATGTGTTTTGTAAAGCACTTGCTTTTTTTTTTTTTTAATATTTATTTTTGAGAGAGAGGGAGAGAGAGTGAGCAGGAGAGGACCAGAGAGAGAGGGAGACACAGAATTGGAAGCAGGCTCCAGGCTCTGAGCTGTCAGCACAGAGCCCGACATGGGGCTCAAACCCACGAACCTCGAGATCATGACCTGAACCGAAGTCAGACACTCAACCAACTGAGCTGCCCAGGCGCCCCACTTCCCGTGTTTTGACAGTCCGTCTAGTTTGTAGCACATTTCAGCTCTTCATTCCGGGTTAATGCCGAGTAACAGCCCGTCGTGTGGACATGCTGCATCCTGTGTGTCTATTGGAGGTTTGGATTATTCTCGCTTTTTGACTGTTGTGATGAGTGCTCTTATGAACATTTGTGTACGAGTATTTATTTGAATCGCTGTTTTCAAGCCTTTTGTGTATATACCTAGCAGTGTAATTGCTGGATCAAACAGTAATTCTGTGTTTACCTTACTGAGGAGCTGCCACGCTGTCTGCCCTGGCGGCTGCAGCATTTTACCTCCGCGCTAGCAGTGGGGGAGGGCCCCAGTGTCTCCTCCCCCCCCCACTGAGTACGCATTTGCTTTCTCAGTTTTTCCATCCTAGTAAGTGTGAAGTACATGATTTTGATTTGCATTTCCCAAAAGACTAATGATGCTGAGCCTTTTTTCTTATGTTTGTTGACCATTTGTATATCTTTGCAGAAATTTTTTGCCCATTTTTATTTTTTGATATTTTTTTTAATGTTTATTTTTGAGAGAGAGAGAGCAAGTGAGGGAAGGGCAAAGAGAGAGGAAGACACAGAATCTGAAGCAGGCTCCAGGCTTGAGCTGTCATCACAGAGCCCAATGCAAGGCTCAAACTCACAACCTGTGAGATCATGACCTGAGCTGAAGTTGGACACTTAACTGACTGAGCCACCCAGGTGCCCCTTATTTTATTTATTTTTGAGAGAGAGACAGAGACAGAAAGAGAGACAGAGTGTGAGCAGAGAGAGAGAGGGAACACAGAATCTGAAGCAGGCTCCAGGCTCTGAGCTGTTGGCACAGAACCTGACTCAGGCTCGAAGTCACGAGCCGTGAGATCATGATCGTTTCTGGACTCTCAGGGCCATTCAGCTTGGCTGTATGTTTATCCTTATGCTGGTACCATGCTTTTCAGTTACTGCAGCTTTATGGTAAATCTTGAAGTCAAGACATGTGAATTCTCCAATTTTGTTCTTTTGTAAGATTGTTCTGGTTATTTGAGGTCCCTGGAGATTCCATATGAAGTTTAGCATCAACTTCTCCATTTTTATAAAAAAAAAAAAAAAAAGCCATTGAGATTTTGATAGCTGTAGAGATTTGATAGAGATTGAGATTTTGATACTGAATCAGGATTGCATTGAATCTGTTGATTGCTATGGAAAGTATTTCCATCTTACTGATACTGAGTCTTCAAATCCATGAACACAGGAGTATTTCCATTTATTTAGATCCTTTTTAATTTCTTTCAGCAATGTTTTGTGGTTTTCACCTTACAGGTCTTACATCTCTTTGGTTAAATTTATTCCTAAATATTTTATTCTTTTAGCTGCTATTATAAATGGGATGGGGGGGTTGTTCACTGATAGTTTGTAGAAATACAGTGATTTTGTGTTTTGATCTTATGTCATGGAACTTTTACTGAACTACTAGCTCAGATAGTATTTTTGTGGGTCTTCTTCTCTATATAAACTCCTATAATCTGTGAATAGAGGTGGTTTTACTTCTTCCTTTCCAATTTGGAGGTCTTGTCTTGTCTTTTTTTGCCTTATTGCTCTGGCTAGACCCTCCTATACGGTGTAGACTGGCGGGGAGAAGGGAAGATTCTCAGGGTGTACCACTGAGTATGATATTAGCTGTGGATTTTCCACAAATGCCCTTTCTCAGTTGAGGACGTTCCTTCCTCGTTCTGATTTGTTGAGTGTTTGATCCATGAGAGATTTGGATTTTGTCAGATGCTTTCTCTGAATCAGGTGATGGGTGGATCATGTGATTTTCCATCATCCTGTTAGTATGGTTGATTTTCCTATGTTGACCCACCCTTGAATTCAGCCACTGAAATTTGAATCTGTGCACCTGTCAATTGAATGAGGATTCAGAATAAGGATTACATATCTTGTTTTTAAAGTGTTTCACTGTTTCTTGAGGAAATCTAGATACATTCTAAATATCAGTGAAAGAGTTGTACTGATTTTCCTCTCCTTGTTTTTGTGAGTGTCAAAGACTGATAGAATAATATGGGGGAGATAGGCCAGAAGATTCCATAATTGCATACTTAGGGCTGTGATAGTAAAGCAGTACTGATGGACGGATACACAGTCTGAAGCCATGTAACAAAATACAAAGATTAAGGAGCTGGTCAAGTATATATTAGCAGTGAACATGTGAAGATTACAGGATTATGACTTTGGGATACCTGTTTGGTTTCACTGATTTGTCTATTTATGTATTAGTACTGGCCTAATAGTCTAAAAGATGTTCTAAAACATGACTTTTTAAAAATATTTACTTATTTTTGAGAGAGACAGCACAAGTAGGGGAGGGGCAGAGAGAGCGGGAGACATAGAATCTAAAGCAGGCTCCAGGCTCTGAGCTGTCAGCACAGAGCCTGATGAAGGCTCGAACCCAGAAACCATGAAATCATGACCTGAGCTGAAGTCAGATGCTCAATGGACTGAGCCACCCAGGTTCCCCCTGAAACGTGATTTTTAGAAATTATCTCATCCATATAATATCTCGTATGTAGTAATGGATGGAGAACAGTGTTGGAAAGGTATAATTCTCCCCAAATTAGCTTATTCATTGTTAGTAGAAATCCATCTAAATTTAGTGGTTGATAATCACTGTATTTTAAATCAGTTGTGGAACTGATCACATTCATGTCATTTAGGAGTAAATCCATTATACATTTGGGGGAGATGGCTGAGTGGCTCAGTCGGTTGAGTATCTGACTTCAGCTCAGGTCATGAGCTCACAGTTCGTGAGTTCCAGCCCCACATCGAGCTCTCTGCTGTCAGCACAGAGCCTGCTTCAGATCCTCTGTCCCCTTCTCTGTCTGGCCCTCCCTGCTCATGCTGTCTGTCTCTCAAAAATAAATTAAAAAAAAAAAAACATTTGGGAGAAAAGCTGTATACAAACATGTATACATTCAGCTTCCCGACATGTAGATGAAAAAGTAACCTGGAATGATTAGAAGAACATACAGATAAGGATGCATCTAAACCTTTCATGGGAAAGGACTTAACTTATAAGCCTGAAAGCAAAGAGGAAAAACTGATTGAAAAGCATATTAATGAAAAAATTTTTCTGAATTCAAAAAACAATGCCATGAATTCAAGTTAAAACATAGCACCACTGAGGGAACAATATGTACTTTTCCTCTGGAGTTTTGTGCTTAACAGACAATTACATGTCTGCGTTCAGTCCTACTGTTTCCGTACTTAAAAAGTGACATTATGCTGTCTATATTCTTGAGGTAAATTTAGAGCATCTAAGGTACAGTCTCTTGGGACGCCTTGGTGGCTCAGTTGGTTAAGCCTCAACTTCGGCTCAGGTCATGATCTATCTCATGGTTCATGGGTTCAGGCTCTGTGCTGACAGCTCGGAGCCTGGAACCTGCTTCGGATTCTGTGCCTCCCTCTCTCTCTCTGCCCCTCCCCTGCTCATGTTGTGTGTGTGTCTCTCTCTCAAAAATAAACATTGTAATAAAAAAATTTTAATAAATAGAGTACAGTCTCTTCGCCATCATGGCACATTTGACCCTTGAACAGCACAGACCCGCCTGCATTTGAAAATCCACATACCTTTTAACTACCCCAAAACTTAATACCCTACTGGAAGCCTGACCCATAACATAAACAGTTGATTAACACTCGCTTTGTATGTCATACGTATTACACACTGTATCCTTAAGGTAAGCTAGAGCAAAGAAAACGTTAAGAAAATCATAAGGAAGAGGAAGTACATTTACAATGCTGAGTTGTATTTATGGAGAGCACTCCACATCTAAGCAGACCTGCGCAAGGGCAGCTGTAGGCGTGAGAAGTGTGCGTTTGTGGCCACGTTCTGTGAACAGACCGCAGGCACTGAGCTGCCGAGCCCAGGACTGTGGCTCGTGGGCAAGTGCGGTCCGCCCTCTGCAAGCGGCTGGTCGTGGCATTTCCACCAGTTGCTCAGTACGTAACCTTGTGTATGTCTTCTGTTTAAGACGCCTTGGTTAACACGTTCTGTTGAGCCATTCGCGTTGAGCTCAGGGCCACCAACGGTGTAACTCACACCTGGACGAGGCTGGTCTAATGCACATGTTCCCTCCATGAGATGCCCCTCAGCCTTCGCCTCAGGTCGCCAGGCCGCCCTTCAGTGCTGCGCTCAGGCCGTCCTAACCCGAATCACAGGCGAAAAGACACAGCCATAAACAGACCCCCAAAGGACACGTGTTTCCAGTATGAGCGGAAGCAGGAGTCAGACGCAGCTGAGGACAGGCAGGTCAGGCAACTCCGTTTGTGCCGCTCTGCACTCCCGTCTCGTGTGTGGATTTGGGGTTTCAGGACCCATCGGCACGCAGGCAGATGCACAGCTACGGCCCCACCAGTGCTGGGGCTCGGACGTGCTTTTTCCTTCTAGGCAGAACTCTGTTGTGCTAGTTTCTTCTTGACGTGCTCGTCACCAGGACCGTAATGTTGTATTGTACTGACCACGCAGGTGAAGTTGAAGTACAAATACAAAGCAAGGATCTTCCTGGAGGAAAGCCTCTCGTTCGGAGTCCTGGGGGAGCATGGTCGAGGAGTCACCGAGCATTTCGGAATCAGCGTAAGTGCTCCCTCCCTGGGACGCAGCCCCATCCTGCCTGCCGTGGCCTGCGGGCCCAAGGCCGGCTCCTCGTCAGCGTGCAGGGTCGTGCCGGCCGGCTCTGTCCCTTCGCCGAGCCCACAGGGCACCAGGTCAGCCCGTCCGGGACCCGTCTCCCCTCAGAGCCTGTGAACTCACAGTGGCGCCTCCTAGAATTGTGATCTGTTTACTTGGTAGCATTTGATGTTGGCTTTCCATGTCTCTTCTCTAGAAACAGATAAACTTGCCTTCATGTTTTTCTTAAAATCAGTAACAGTTCCCTAAAGTAGTTCCTTAGAAAATACGGTGGGGGCAGTGAAAGGGCATTCTCTGTATGGGTGTTAGATGACCGTGACTTCTCTGTGGAGAGAGACCGTCAGAAACACTGCTGGCGGACACCTCGCAAGGCCTTGGGTCCCAGACAGCTGGAGGGAGTTGGTCACGTGTTCTTTTGAAATGAACCCCTGCCCCCCCCCCCCCCCCCCCCCCCCCCCCCCCCGCTGTATCACTGCTTTGTGCCCCTGGAGCCTCAGAGAGGGGCAGTGTCGGCCTGTCCCCTGTCCACAGAGCCTGCCTTCACCTGCCCCTGTGTGCTTGAGATGAGGGGAGCTTCTCTGCAAATCCTCTGTGTAAAAGCTTTCTGACCCCTGCTAAAGAGTTGAGCTACAGAACGTGAAGTCACCTGAGCTTATCTGCGTCTCCCTACTGACATGGGGCAGAGCGAGTATCACACAAGTTAGAGTGACAGACGTGCAGGGTATATGGACCTCATGTGGATCCTGATTCCAAATACTGCAGAAAACAAGCTTTGTGAGGCAGGTATTAGGACACTGGATATTTGACAATATTAAGAAATTTTTCATTTTATAGGTGTGATAATGGTTTCATGATTATGTTTTTGAAAGGTTCCATATCTTTTAGAAATGCACACTGAAATATAGATGAAACGCTCAGAACTTTTGGGATTTGCTCTAAAGAAATGATGAGGGCAGTAGGAGGCTGTACTTGGAAGATTGTCCCATGAGCTGGTAATTACTGGATCTGGTGATGAGAATTGTTGATTCTGTTCTCTCTACTTTTGTGTGTGTTTGAAATTTTTCATAATAAAAGGATTTTTTAAAAAGAGCTCACGGCATCCGTGAGTGACTTTGAACGGCTGCTGTGTGCCCAGGTGCACCCTGCTGCTGGGGCTGGAGCGGGAGGAGAGGGTCAGGGGAGCAGGGTCACCATCGAGAAGATGGTGGCGGCGACTCAGAAGCCCACATGGCACAGTGGGGTTTGCCCGCTGCCCGGTTTGGCGGTTCAGCGTGGCCGAAGAATCAGTTGCCATGATGTTTGGAAAACTTGCCTTTTCATTTCTGGAATGGTGAAAGGTAAATTGAATGTAGGAATAAAGTGTTCGAAGCTCTGATAGATGTGTTTGTATTTATCTCAAGTACCTTCTGGGGGCGAGGCCAGCTGGACCCTTGTTTAAGCAAGGAAATGACCTAATTTTGTACCTCAGAATGTTTGTAGTACTGAGCAGCTCTGGGTTTCATCTTGTAACTTCTTTCTGTCCTTCCACTGAGGATAAATTGCCAACACGCCCTTTCAGAGGCACACTCGAAGCATCCGTGCTTGTAACCCGCAGGTTTTTATGGCTTATCCTTCACTTGCACGGAGGTGGTGTGTTTGAACCGACATGTTGACATGAGCAGTGCTGCGGTTTTGTCTGCAGGTCTTTTAACTCCCACTGTCTTGCTTTTTTCGCAGATTGATGACATTGACCTTATCAGTGCCAACATGGAGAACTCCCTTGCTTCTATCGGAGGTTTCTGCTGTGGCAGATCTTTTGTGATTGACCATCAGGTGGGTTCTTTTCAGAAACAAAAGGCCCGCCTGGTTGTGTGAAGGAGTTGCTGAGCTATAACTTGCAGTCACACAGCTTCCTTCTGACCTGGCTTATCACAATTTTTATTTAAAAGTCTATTTGTCTGTAGAATCACTCAACATATTTACATTTAGAAAGTAGCTTCCTTTTAGAAAATGTCTTATCTTTGTTGTCTGTGTAAGTTTTATACATGCGTGGGTCTTCCCACCTTACCGTTTATACACACTGTTAACAGGTCTGCAGATTTGGTGCCTTGAGGTGTTTTAGCCAAAAAAAAAAAAAAGTGTACTCGTGTCTTTAGCTTGTTTGTTTCTTCTCAGCGACTCTCGGGCCAGGGGTACTGCTTTTCGGCCTCGCTGCCCCCATTGCTGGCCGCCGCCGCGATCGAGGCTCTCAACATCATGGAGGAGAACCCAGGTACGGCGTTGCGCACGCGGACGCAGGCATCACGGCCCACGCCAGCCAGGCTGCCGTGCTTTGCGAGCGATTCGCTGGAGGCGAGCATTCGCCAGCCAGACCTGTGCTGCAGGTGCTGCTGCTTGGCGGGTGTGGGGAGTGTGGGGAGGGCGTCCTCCCGCTCCCGGGGGCCAGCGTGGGGCCCCTCTCCCGTCCTGCAGCCGGAGCCCTGGAGCCCTGGAGCCCTGGAGCCAGGGCGGGCTGGGCGGGCGGGCTCCCAGGATGGGTGGGAAGCCAGGAGGATGCACTCGGGCCGTTGCGGTTCAGGGGGTAGGTGCAGGGGGCTGCGGGTGCTCCTATGTGCAGCTTACAGGTGACCCAGTTTTCCTTCAGCCTTTGACTCATTATTTGGTACTGAAGCCAAGTCCTGTTCGCCGACCGCTGAAGCTTCCTTATTAGGCCAAGTTGATTAAATTTCAAATGTGGCCTTAGGTTGGGATGGCACCCCTCACAAAGCCTGAAACAGAAAAGAAGAAGCAGGCCTTAACCTGGTATTTCTAAGTTTAGAGTTCTTTAAGTCTCTACATGTTTCACAGGGGTTTCAATTCAGAGAACCGGGGAGCGTGAGTGTTTGTGTGTGCACACTGACACATGCGTGTGTCGGAGGGCCTGGCACCCCTGCCTCTTCCTCACAGACTTCACCTGTGAGTGAGGTGCAAAGATCCAAGAGCAGATAGTACCCATTAGTATAGTGTCTGTCTTTTATCAAATTGTTAAGGGTCCAGAAATAAGCAATATATTTGTACCCTTTTATTCTTAGATTATATATAGACTCTGGCTGAGAGCAAGAGCCCTTGTTCTGTTGCAGGGAACCTCCCCCAGCTTGTGCTCAGAGAGGGTGACGCGGTGTGAGGGCTGGCATGCCGAGTCCGGGGCCTGGGCCTCTAGAGCCGCTGCTGTCGGGTGGGGGAGGGGGGTGCCACATTTTATGGTGATGAGCTTGAACTTTAAAAATATTCTTAGATTAGTAATATCGGGTCTTCCAAATATCCTATCAAGTGTATTTTTTTCATGCAGCTATTTTTTCACTGTTGAAGGAGAAGTGCAAACGAATTCATAAAGCGTTACAGGGGTAAGTTTAATACATTTCCAGTGAACTTAAAGTCTGTCTGCATCACGCATAAACAAGTAGTGACCGTTTCTGAATGTCACCTCTTTGGTTTTGAGTGTATTTAATACACTTGCGTCAGTTTGACTCACAGCTAAGAAACAAACTCAGTTCATTCAAATTTGTGTGTGGGCTTGAGACCAGAGCATCGTTTTGTCGTTGTTTTATTTCATTTTATTATGTTTTATGTTTTGAGAGAGCACGCACAAGCAGGGGGAGGGACAGAGAAAGAGGAGAGAGAGAGAATCCCAGGCAGGCTCCACGCTCAGCTGCAGAGCCCGATGTGGGCTCACAACAGTGAGATCATGACCTGGAGTGAAATGAAGAGTCGGACGTGAAACTGACCGAGCCACCCAGGTGCCCCGTTTGGTCGTTACTTTAATGAACCATGACTTTGCTGTTCCAAAAATGATACAAGCTGATTAATGTGACAGCAGTCCATAAGGGACAAAGATGAAGACAGCCACCAAACACGCTACAACCAGTAGTAAGTCAGGCCAGCATGGGACAGTCTCTCCGTGTCCGTACAGACAAGTGGCATCACTGTTTGCCATGTACTTAGGTGACAGTGGTTCGTGTGGTCCATAGTTTTTAGAAAATGATTGTTGTAGTTTAAATGCACGTAAGAAAAGCAAGTGAAATCGAAATGAACCATATGAGTGTCTGCTTGTGTTCGTCTTAACGACACGAGAGTTCTTTCAGGTGCCTCTGGCATTGAGAAAAAATTCAGGCTGGTGACGCCTTCAGGCAGATTTCTGATCTTATAGAAAATGATCTCCGTTGCCCAGGTACTTCCTTTTGTCTTTCCTAAGGTGGAGACTTGTCTTTTCAGTCCTGAAAGTCCCACCTGTTGCCAGATATGGGAACTGGAAGCTTCCCTATAAGGAAAGGACGGGGACTAAATGAGCAGATCACAGCTGTTCGGGTGGAGTACGGGCAGAAACAGCTACAGCTCTGGGTGTGTCTGCACGATGGTGGCCACAGCTCCTGCATGATTCATGGCTGGGGCGCGCGTGCTGTCTCCGGCCGCGCAGGTCCGTGAGACGTGAATATGCCGGCGCGGCAGGGCGCATGCGGCCGCGGCCCCCTCCGGGACGCCCGCCTCACTGCCTCCCTTCTGCCGCTGGTGGGACGTGCTCAGCCTGTGAGCCCGGCCGTCCTTCCCTTCCCAGTCTCTCCCCTCCCCAGTCCCCAAGCCCCCAGGCCCCCGGCTACACCGCACCCAGTGTTGGCAGAGAGCCCGGCCTCAGGCTGCCGCTCGGACCTCCGCAGCCTCCCTCCCAGATCTGCACACGGGCTTCCACCCCGCGCCTCCCGGCTGTGACTGGGTTAGCATTTGAGTCCACTCTGTCCTCTCTCCTCTTAACTGCCTCTTTCCCGTGAGCCCGCCTCAGTGGCCACCGCCGGCTGGTGGCCAGTCTGCTCTGGGGTTTGTACTTTGTCCTCGTCACCTGATCTCCAGCAGTCTAACTTCTTATTCCAGACACTGTTTCACTCTGTGTGAGGTGATATATGTAAAAGTCCTGTTATCTGCAGTAATGATTCTCACCTCCTCCCGAATTCTTACACACCTTAGTTCTTTTTCTTCTTTCATTGCACTGCCCTCGGTCGCTAACACGGTGTTGACGTCTTCTGTGATAGCAGTCATAGGCCTCTTCTGTCGTTCCCAATGTAAACGCATTCCTTCGTTAAGTAGGAAACACCAGGGCACCTGGGTAGCTTGGTTGGTTGAGCATCTAACTCTTGATTTCAGCTCAGGTCATGATCTCACGGTTCGTGAGATTGAGCCCTGCGTGGGGCTCCGGGCTGACAGCCAGCAGCCTGCTTGGGATTCTCTCTCCCTCTCTGCCCCTCCCCCACTTGTGTGTGCATGCATACACTCTCTCAGTTTTTTTTTTTTCAAGTATGAAACAGCGTGCTATAGGTTTTTTGTAGGTGGTATTTATCAAATTATTCCTAGATTTGGAGACTTTTAAAAAAAAATCATAGATTTGGCTCACACTGAATTACACCATTAGAATTGTCCCTATTAAACCATGCTTGCGTTCTGGAGTAAACCCCTGCTTGGTTACGATGTCGTCTTCCGCCTGTGCTGCAGCCTGGGTTATTGACAGATCCTAGCAGGACACAGTAGTTCAAGGAAAGGAGACCCAGGGTACTGGTCCTGGTTGGTGCTTGGAAAGCCCGGTGAGGTGAGCTCCTGGCACCTCCCGTGACACGTGGCTCACGGTCATCGTTCATGTTGAGTCCTCAGCGTGTTTAAGGAATCACAGGTACTAGAAGTGCTTCTTGCGCTCATTAGATTCTGAGGGAAAAGTAGCTCTTTCTGAGGGAAATTGGGTAAATGAAGGCAATTTAAAATGTGTGGCTCAATTTCAAATAGTCACATGTCCCCATTTATAGTCTAGGGGGTGGGTCCAAAATCAGACTATTATTATTACAGGACAAACACGGGCTTCAGATGCACCTGACGTGCAGTTCTCATGAGACCTGTAATCGTCACTTGAAAATAGAGGATTTCACCCCTGCAGAAATCTCTCTCCCTCCCTGAGAAGCTGCAGATGTCTGTGCTATTAATCCTAAGAAAGAGGAAAATAATCATAAACCAAGTAAAACTTAACAGTAAACACGCAGATAAGAAAGGAACTTTATAATCTGAACATACTACCGCTGGCCAAAATGCAGTGTCTTTAACGTCAGAAATCGTCCCTGTCATTTATGAGAGGCAGGATAGAGGACTGAGACCATGAGCCAGGAGACATCATCAGCCGTAGTAACTCGTGAAGGAAGCAGAGTAACAGGTGGTGCGTGTGGACGCCTCCCCAGAGGAGTGACTTGGGACGGAGGCCCCCGGAGGCAATCCTGTGGCAGGGGCCCGGCTGTCTGGCCAGCAGTGGGTGACGGGGCTAGGGGCAGATGAGGAGAGGTCTGAGGGCCAGGCCCAGGGGCCAGCAGAGCAGGGCAGGCAGGGACGCGGGGGCAGGGCCCGCAGGCCCCCGGGGCAAGCCTGGGGAGGACTCGTTTTCTGTGCCGTGTGAGCCAGACACGCCACCAGGACAGGGAGCCTTCCGGGCATACTCGTAGTGGGCCCCGAAGGGCCGTGTGCACCAGTGAGCACTGCCCGGAGCACGGGTCCCCGCTGTCTCTGTGGGATGGAGCCCCACGCCTGGTGCCCCCGGGAAAGCCCCACGGTTCTGCTCCGCTCATGCGCGCAGACTTGGAAGTTACTTTTCTGCGAGGCAGCGTCGCGCCAGGCAGGGGCTGAGGCTGTGTGTGTTTCCTTTCAGCATTTCGGGGCTGAAAGTGGTGGGGGAGCCCCTCTCCCCCGCGGTCCACCTGCAGCTGCAAGAGAGCTCCGGGTCCCGGGAAGGCGACGTGAAGCTGCTTCAGGAGATCGTGAACCACGTGAGTGTGTAGCTGCAGGGTGTTTATGGCCCGTTGTAGGAAAGCTCTCTTGGCCCCAGGAGGCAGCCCCCTCGTGGTCCCAGTACCCGGGTCTTCCCGACACGCCTCTGCCGACAGGCCGCACTGCACCCGCCCGGCCAGGCTCGGCTCACGGGAAGTTGTCGTGCTCTGTGCCCGCCGTAGTAAACACGCCTTCCTTTCACTCTCACTAATTAGCCTCCAGATAACCCGTTCACGCAGCAGTTTTGAAGCCAGGCTTTCGTACCTGTGGGTGGGGTGGCATCGTGAGTGCCGGTCACACGTGGCCCTGGACAGCTGTCCGAGGTGAGCCCCCGGCAGAGCTGAGACTGGAGCCAGAAAGGAAGAAAGACCACTTCTTCGCGAGGCCTAACTGAGGTTGACTTAAGTATCTGTGTCTCCTGAAGCTGATTTCACTCCTCATTGTGCCTTCGTTACTGAGAGCCCTGCCCCTCTGTCGCCCTCCCCAGCCCACGCCGCTCGTCCTCAGACGGGTGGACGGGCCCGGGGCCCCGCGAGCACACGTGCTGTGCGGGGCGGCCCCATGCTCTGGGAGTGGAGGCAGCCTTCGCTCCGCCCCCTCCCGCCTGTCCTGGGGCCCCTGCCAAGGGCTCTGCTCCGAGGTCGCTGGGTGTCGGGATGATGGCTGTTGTCTGTCGTGTGCCTTTGGCTGGCCGGGGGTCAGGCCTCTCCGTGGTCATGTGGCTGGTCAGCAAGGAGTCCGGGGCTGAGGCCTGGCCCGGCCCCACTGCCTGCTTTAGCCGTCCTCCCTCGTGCACTGTGCGACCCGCACCGAGAGGGACAGGTCGTGGGGAGCCTCGTGCGGTTCGTGGCCTTTTGGAGTCAGTCAGCTTAGGAAACCGAACCGGACCCAGAGGCCGCGATCCCCAACCGAGGAAGCGTGTGAGATGAGGAGCAGTCAGGCTGGAGCGCCTCCACGTCCCTGGCGCGCGGGGCCCCCGGGGTGCAGTCCCTCGGGCAGGGGGTGCAGCCCTGCGAACACCCCGAAGACAGATCCTCTTTCAAGGGGACACACATCCCACCGGCACCCTTACCACATCGGCGTTTTTCTGGTAACGTCACATACTCTACGGGCGGGACAGGCAGCACAGCATCCTCGTGGGTAGGGCTCTTACACACCTGCTGCGACCCGCTTTATACATACGTGCAGGCCAGGTGGACGCCGCAGGAGCGTCAGGTCAGTGACACCAGCCCCACGTGCTGGCCCAGCCTGTGCTGAGCAGGGAGCCCGCTGGCGTGCCGGGTGCAGCGCGAGCCGCCTGTCGGAGCCTCGAGCCCCATCTCCCCCACCGGGGGCCCCGGCCTCCCTCGGCGCCCTCGGGACGGCTCTGCATGGCCTCTTGCTGCGGGCCGGGCCACGCTCCCGCCGCAGGAGCCCCTCTCTTCTGTCCTCGAGACGTCGCAGCAGTGGGGGCGTCCTCCTCCTGGATGCGGAGATGCCGCGGAGGGCAGGCGACAGAGGAGGGCTCGTCCTCGGGATGGAGGGGGAGGCGACGGCCTGCGCCTGAGACCCCGGCGACGGCGGAACCCAGGGGGCGCCGAAGGAGAGCGGCGGGTCCTGCGGCGGCTCTGCGTCCTCATGCCACGCTCGGCTGCACACGCCGTTCGGTATCGGAGGGGAGCCGGTCGCAGGGCGGAAACTGCGTTCACGCTCTGCGGAACGCGGTTTTGCCAAGTTCTTGTTGGGCTGCCCCACGAGACGCTGTCCGAGCAGCGGTGGTGTGTGACGTGTCAGCCGGGACTGGGCTCGCTGCCCCACGCTCACCTCGGGGCTCCCTCAGTGCCCGCCGCCCTCGCCGCCCAGCCCTGGGAGCATCTGCGCCTTCCTTTACGCACCCCCTGCTCTGATTGTTTTTGTTTCTTTCTTCATTTTTTTTAATGCTTATTTATTTTTGAGAGAGAGACAGCATGAGCAGGGGAGAGGCAGAGAGAGAGGGAGACACAGAATCCGAAGCAGGTTCCAGGCTCTGAGCTGTCAGCAGGGAGCCTGACCTGGGACTCGAACTCACGAACCTCAGCATCATGACCTGAGCCGAAGTCGGGATGGACACTTAACCGGCTGAGCCCCTCAGGCGCCCTTCAGATTGCTTTTTAAATATGATTTCGCATACCAAAAGTTTTTCACGTTTTGAGGATGCAGAGTTGAGTGGGCTTTAGTATACTCACGAGGTTGTGCCCCCACCCCACTCCAGAACATTTTCATCACCCCGGAAGAAAGCCTGATAAACCATTACTTCAATCTGATTTTTATACTTAATTTTGATGGAGAATGTTTTAACTTTTTAAAAATAGCGACAACTGGTTAATGTATGGAAAAGCTGTGCAAAAAGTGGGTGCCACCAGACTCTCTGAAGCCTGGTGGCACCTGGTTGAAGGTGCCCATGGCCGTCAGAGGCCTCGCTGGCATTTGAGGCATCCCAGGGCGCTTGCTGGTCCCGTGGTGCAGGCCGCTCCCTGGGCGGACACCCCGGCAGCCGGTCTGGGTGGCGGTGCCGGGGCCGCTCGGGCGAGGCTGTGGCATCCTGCCTTCTCGCGGTTGTAACCGGACAAATGACCTATCGCCGTGGCCAAGATGGCCTTACGGAGCGCCTGGCGCTGCGATGCCCGCCGTGCCTGCGGCCCGGCTCAGACGTGCCCCTTCTCTTCCACAGTGCGTGGACCGCGGCATCGCGTTAACCCAGGCCCGCTACCTGGAGAAGGAGGAGAGGTGGCTCCCTCCCCCAAGGTGGGTGCCCCTTCAGATGTCGCTTCACTTGTGTTTCCTCCTTGAGAAAGTCCCTGTAAACTGTGTTCTGTTCTGAGAAACATCTGAAAGACTGTCACAGCACAAGGAAGTGTGTCACTAAAATACAGTTCCCCCTGGTTTCTGTTCTTAAACTAGCATTTGCAAATTTTACCCGTAAAGCCCCCCAGGACTCGCTGTACCCTCCCAGGCAACTTAAAGAAGTGTCCGCGATCCCAGGACTGGCGGGGGGCGGCGTAGTCTTGATGAGCAGGTGTGCGTCCCCCACGCCCCTAAGGTGATGGGCCCTGCCCCCTGCCAGCCGCATCCACTGCGAGCACCGTCCTGTGGGAGGGGCACATCTGGATGGCGTTTGCGCCGTTGGCTGGAATGCCAGGTGGTACTTCCTCCGGCAGACACCCCCAGACCACCCAGGGGAAGAGAGAGCAGCAGTGGGGAACGTCGAGAGGTTCGGGAGGCCCTACATGGGAGTAGGGCACCTTGACTCTTGATTTAAAATCAGTGCTCTTTCAGGAAGCAGACCCCCAGCGCATGTTGCGCCAGGGTCATATCACGAGGCCCATGAGGTCACAGGAGGGAGGCAAGGTTCATTCTGGCCTGGAAGGGACTCAGGCTTCCGAGTGCAGGTGATGCTTAAGCCCAGAAGATCGAGTATGTCAGGCCGACTTGTCAACGCCACCGTCTGGCACGGTGTGCGGTGGTGTGGGCACCCTCAAGTGCATCTGGGGAGCCAGAGCACAGGCTTGAGGGAGACGCGGGGGAGGCGCAGGGAGGACCCGGGGCACTGTGCACGCGCAGCAGGCCACCCCGTGGGCAGCAGCTCCGAGCGCCCTCCGAGCCTGCCCTGTTCTCATTGCACCCGGGCAGAGGGGAGATGTTGTGTTTCAGGGGAGCAGCGCCCTGCCTGCTGTGCCCCTCCGCTCCCTGCCCCGCCCGGCGCAGCTCGGTCAGCGTGTCCCGTGGACCGTCCCGACCTGTGCAGAGCGGGCGGGAGAGAAGAGCTAGAACCACCCTGGCGAGCGGAGAGGTTTTTGTCTTTAATTTCCTGAAGACTTAAAAACGTCTGCTTTGCCTCAAAGTATTACAGAACTTCCGCGTGACTCACTGAGTTGTAAATATGAGCGTGAGCATGTAAACACTCCCTGATTTTTAGAAACGTTGATTCCAGCTTTGGGTCCGGCGCTGCTCAGGCAGGGCTCCCGGCACCCAGAGCCCCACCGCGAGGTTACAGTCGGGCCCGAAGTGGCAGATTTTGTAAATGGCCAGTCAGGGCCCAGGCTTGCGGGACAGCAGGTCCCTGGCACGGTCGCTCGACTCCGCCATGCAGCGAGCAAGTGGCCGTACGTAGGCAGTAGGCCTGCCGACGTGTGTAAGAACTTAACTTCCAGAGACAGACGCTGTAGCCTCCTCTGACGATTTTCTGTGTCCTTGTTTCTCAGCATCAGGGTCGTCGTCACCGTGGAGCAAACAGACGAAGAGCTGGAGAGGGCCGCCCGCACAATCCAGGAGGCGGCCCAGGCCGTGCTGCTGTAGGGGCCCCGGGGCCAGCAGACAGCCGTGGGCCACGCCGCTCTCGTGGGCCTCCGCCTCGCCGCCCAGGGACCTGGGAGAGGCCCGCAGGTACCTGGCGGGGTGGCCACCGACCGTGTGGGTGTGGCCTCAGCGGATAGCCCCGAGAAGGATGCTGTTATTGAAACACACACACACACACACACACACACACACACACACAAAATCTAAAAGCCCAGGAACTGATTTTTTTAAGAAGAAAACTAATGATAGCAAATAGCTGGTATTTAAATTGTGCGGTTTAGTACTATTTAAATGTTTTATTATACTAGTGTTTTATATTCTTTTGTTGTTGCCGTTTAAAAATGGAGCTTCAGGTTGTCTTTTCTCCCTATAATAGTAGTTGTGCGAGCACTCCTCACGTGTCTAGGGGCGTGCCTCTGCAGCGTCAAGGTCAGGGAGTGCCTCACTGTCTGGGACACAGACCGCGTTTGCGAGGACCTGATTCAGCCCCGTCTCACTCGGTCTGCGTCCTGTGACGCTCGGTGGCGGCTAATACACAAGGAACCGCTTTTTGTGCAATTATGATAACTTTTCATCCTATTTGAATCCTAAAGTTTTTATATACACTAAATATTGACGTTACTCCATTTCTAACAGCTGATCTTGGCGTCCCTAACTGGAGAACAAATAGTCATTATATTTCCTAAGTGAACAATAGTTTAAATCAAATACTATTTTATCTTAATATAATTGACCTTCACATTTATTATGCGTTGACTTCTAATCTGCTTGAGGAGGAGGGTTACTGTGATGATCCCAGAGTAGAAATCACGTCCTGGATACTTTAGAATATCTTGAATGTATTCCTGTTTTGTAGAGTGGGTTTGCCTAAGGACATATAATTACAGTCTTTTCTAAGCTAGGGAAAATTATTTTTTTTTTCAGCTTATGAATTCCACATATCTAAAAATGTGAATACATTAAAAATAAAGTTTTTAAGCTGTACTTTAGCTATCTGTGTTTTCTCGTGCTCTGTGCTGCAGGCAGTGTGTGAGTATTACACCATTGTTTCTTCTCATAGTGAAGGTAAAGGAATAAAGTTGTTAAAAGGAAAAGTAATAATACCATTTTATAATCTGTTCGTATTAAAGGGTCTTCAGCGTCTTTTTAAATAACGTATTTTTTAATGTTCAGTTTCTGTTTCGCTTGAGGTATCTTGTACACATGTGTCTGTGATCGCTGCTGCTTAAAGGACACGGTGCTCTCTTTGCGGGATGATCTTTTCATTAATTTTTTAATGAAATAAACCTACGTTCTTGATAATCAGTCCGTATGCATGTGTAATGTGTTCAGCAGAATGGTCTCTTGGTTCTCACTCTTCTGCATGGGTAGGGTAGTAGTCTGTGTGCACAAAATATTAAGATTAAGTTCAGGGCTGCCTGGGTGGCTCAGTGGGTTAAGTGTCCGACTTCGGCTCAGGGCATTATCGTACGGTTCGTGGGTTCGAGCCCCGCGTCGGGCTCTGTGCTGACAGCTCAGAGCCTGGAGCCTGCTTCAGATTCTGTGACTCCCTCTCTCCCTGCCCCTCCCCGGCTCATGCTCTGTCTCTCTCTCAAAAGTAAATAAAAACATTAAAACAAATTTATTTTAAAAAAGAAAATATTAAGTCCATTTCTTAGTGCCTTTCTTCGGGGTATGGCGTCTGGGGCTCCCTAGGTTCCTACTGATGTGAGCCCGGGTCTCTATGACTACACTCATGTGAGAACTGTGGGGTTTTTTGTTTTGGTTTTTTGTTTTGTTTTGTTTCTTGTTTTTTAATAGAGCGGGTGCGAGTTGGGGAGAGGAGCAGAGGGAGAGAGAGAATGTTAAGCAGGCTCCACCAGCAGCCTGGAGTCTAGTGCAGGACTCAGTCCCACAAACCATTTTGACCTGAGCCAAAATCAAGAGTTGGACGCTCAACTCACAGAGCCACCCAGGTGCCCCAGAGCTGTCATTTTTATTAGCAGATGATGATAGCAACTTTTCAGCTATTTTTATAATATTTTGTAAGTCACCGTGTCAACATCCAGATGTTCATTACTACTTTCTAAAAATGATAGAAGTTCCTGGGAAAGATGGTGAAAATTAACACATGTCGTTTGACTTCAACCCTTGAAATATATCAGCATTTTGGGCAAAAATCCAAAATATTTCTGTTAAAACTGTACAATGACCAGCATCCAGATACATGCACCACAAAAGAAACATATGCTAGGAACAATAAATTTGCGTAAAACTGAGGCAGAATGCTGAGAGAAAACTGTCCTCAAATCTGAAGCAGGGCACACACTTCTCCGACAAACTGTGAGAGGGCTCAGGAATGCTCCATCCAGCTCCCCGGCGGCTGGGGCACGCAGCACAGAAACCGCGCAGGGACGGTTTTCACTTTTAAGAAATACTACAAACAGACATTTCAGAATAAAAGTGTCAACACATAGTGAAACTATAACAGTTATAAGTGTATATACTCCTAAAAACAGTCCTAAAGTACATGAAGCAAAACTGAAATAATTGAAAAATAACAGTAATAGTTGGAGATTTGAAAAAGCTCACCCTAGGGGCCCCTGGGGGGCTCAGTTGGTTTAGCATCCAACTTCGGCTCAGATCATGATCTCACTGTTCGTGGGTTCGAGCCCCACGTCAGGCTCTGTGCTGACAGCTAACTCAGAGCCTGGAGCCTGCTTCACATTCTGTGTCTCCCTCTCTCTGTCTGACCTTCCCCTGCTCATGCTGCCTCTCTCTCTCTCTCTCTCTCTCTCTCTCTCTCACTCTCACTCTGTTTCTCTCTCTCTCTCTCAGAAATAAATAAAACATCAAAAATTTGAAAAAAGAAAAAGCTCATCCTAAATAACCAACAGAACAGGAAAGGGAAATTATATGTAAAAAGGCCCGAACAGCACGGTCAACTGACTGTAGCAAATCTATCTGTGTTTGCAGAACATTCTACTCAGAAATTCCAGAATACAGTCTTTTCAACTGCACATGAAACAGTCTTCAGGATAAATCACATGCTGAGCCATAAAACCAGTCTCCATAAATTTAAAAAGATTGAAATCATAAAAAATACGTTTTCTGTCCACAATGCAATTAAATCAGAGACCTGCAATAGAAAACTGGAAGAGCCCCAAAAATCTAAATAACTCATGGATCAAAGGAGAATCACAAAGGAAACTTCTTAAATGTTATGAACTGAATAAATATGACACAGCAAAATTTATGTGACACAGCTAAAGCAGTGGTCAGAAGGAGATTAGTAGCTTTAAATGCCTGGATCAGAAAAGAAGAAAGGTTTCCCATCAGTGACCTAACTTTCCACCCTGGGAAAGTGGAAAAGGAAGAACAAACTGAGCCTGAAGCAAAGAAATAGAGATTGGAGGAAAAAAAATTCAGTGAAATAGAAAACAGAAAAATAGAAAAAATTAATAAAACTATTGGCAAATAATTGTTGGACTGACCACAAAAATAACAGAAGACACGAGTTACCAAAATCAGACTTAGAGGGGTAACATCGCTACCATTCCTACAGAAATCAAAAAGATTACAAGAATATTACAAGTTTATGCCAACAAATCAGACAAATGACATGAGCAAATTCCAAGGAAGACACAAATTATCAAAGCAAATTCTATTAAATAGAAAGTCTGAACAGAAATATAAACTGAATTAGTATTTTCAGATCTACCCACAAAAATGTCCAGACCCAGTAAATTCTATCAACCACTTAAAAAACAAGCAATACCAATCATTCACAAATTTCTTTCAGAAAGAAAGGAGGAGGTAGGAACATCTCAGGTCATCCTAGTTGGTTTCTAAGATACCAAAGCCAGACAAATTACATGAAGAGAAAACTACATATAATTTCCCTCATGAACATGGACACAAAAAGTCCTAACTTACACTTTTCCTGGAGAATCTAGCCTGTGCAGTAAGGGGATAAAAGCATCAAATTAGAAAAAAAAGTAAATTTATTTGCAGACGACATGACACTCGATGTAGAAGACCCTAAGATGTCCATTAAAAAACTATAATATTCATGTTTAGCAAGATCAGAAGATACTAGATATGTGTGTGTGTATAGTATACATATATATATGTATATTATATATATATATACACACACATATATAAATGAATTGTATTTCTGTATATTAGCAACAATCTGAAATGAAATTAAGGAAATAATTCCATGAATAATAGCATTAAAATAAATAAAATAATAAACAATAAAAACCATAAGGCTTGTATACTGAAAAGCATAAAAATTGTAAAACATTGCTATGAGAAATTGAAGATTTAATTAAATGGATAAACATTCTATGTTCATAAATTGGAAGATTCCCCAAATTGGTTTATAGATTCAGTGCAGTCCTTATCAAAATTCCAGCAGACTTTTATGCAGAAATCAAGAAGCTGATCCTAAAATTTATATAAAAACAGACCTACAGTAGCCAAAACAATTTTTAAAAAGAAGGAAGTTGAAGGATTTATACTACCTGCTATTAAAACTTACTATAATACTGTGGTTAGCAAGAGAGCATGGTACTGGAACAAGAGTATATCGATGGAACAGCACTGAGAGTTCAGACATGAACCTTATATTTATGGTGAATTGATTTTCACCAAAATGCCAAAGTCCTAATCCAACAAGAAAAGGGTAGTCTTCTCAACAAATGTTGCTGAGAGAATTGGATGTTGTAGTAGATTTGAGCCACCCAAAGAATCAAGTCCTAATTCTTGGAACTTGTAAATGTTACCTTATCTGGGAGAAGGGATCTGTGCAGCTCTGATTAAGGATGTGAAGATGAGATTGCAGTGAATTATAATGGTGGGCCCTAAAAGCCATCACAAGTGGCCAAGATGGAGACAAAAGGAGATGACCCCACGGACACAGGAGACCCCTCCAGAGTTGGAGGCGGTGTGAAGACAGAGGCTGCTGCGAGTAGCCACAAACCAGGGGACACAAGCAGCCACCAAAAGCTGCCAGGGGCAAGGAACAGATACCCCAGGGCCATCAGGTCTTCCCGACACTTTGAAAGTAGACCTTTACTGGGGGCACCTGGGGCGCTCAGTGGGTTGAGCGTTCAACTTCGGCTCAGATCGTGATCTTACAGGTTGTGAGTTCAAGCCCTGCCTCGGCTCTCTGCTGTCAGCACAGAGCCTGGAGGCTGCTGCATCCTCTGTCTCCTTCTCTCTTTCAAAAATAAACATTTAGAAAAATAAAGTAGACTCTTAACCTCACACTATGTATAAAAATCAGCTCAGACCAGAAGCCTAAATATATGGCTAAACCGTAAACTTCTAGGAGGAAGGAGAAAATCTTTTAAATCATTGGTTAGGAAAAGATTTCTAATATAGAGCAGTAAAAGCATGGACCAAAATAAAACTTTTCATTTGCTTTCCATTTAAAATTTTATTTGCAAAAATAAAACTTTTCATTTTCATTTAAAATTTAAAAAAAAGTTTTAATGTTTATTTTTGAGAGAGAGACAGAGCATGAGCAGGGGAGGGCCAGAGAGAGAGGGAGACACAGAATCTGAAGCAGCTCCAGGCTCTGAGCTGTCGGCACAGAGCCTAACGCGGGGTTTGAACTCACAAACTGCGAGATCATGACCTGAGCTGAAATTGGACGCTTAACCGACTGGGCCACCCAGGTGTCCCAGTTACATGAACTGCTTAAAAAACTACCAAACTGTTTTTCCAAAGTGCTTGCACCATTTTATATTTCACCAGCAGTGTATGAGGTTTCCAGTTTTTCCATATCTTGCCAATGGTTGGTTTCAACTTGTTTATTACCTACATTCCATGGGGTGTGGGGGGATAGCTTGGTAGTTCCAATTTGCATTGTTCTAATGATTAATGATGTTCAATGTTTTCATAAGCCTTCCAGACACTAAGTGACTCTTTTGGTGAAATGTTTTTGATTTCTTATTATTGAATTTTAAGTGTTCTTTGTATATAAGGTACATACTTTTTATTCTATATGATTTGTAAACATTTTCTCATAATCTGTGACTTGTTTTCACTTCATTCTGTCATTTGAAGAGCAAATTTTAGGGGCACTGGGTATATATGTGTGTGTGTGTGTGTGTGTGTGTATGTGTGTGTATATATATATATATATATATTTTTTTTTTTAATAGCCTTCATGGCTGACACAAAGCCCAATGCAGGATTTGAACTCCATGAACCGTGAAATCAAGAACTGAGCTGAGATCACGAGTCAGATACTTAACCAACTGAGCCACCCCAAGAATTACATTTTTATTTTTATTTTTTAAATTTTTATTGTTTATTCATTTTTAATAGTTTATTGTCAAGTTGGTTTCCATATAACACCCAGTGCTCATCTCCACAAGTGGCCTCCTCCATGCCCATCCCCCCCTTTCCCCTCCTGCCCCATCAGTCCTCAGTTTTTGTCAGCATTCAAGAGTCTCTCATGGTTTGCCTCCCTCCCTCTCCCCCACTATTTCCCCCCATCTTCTCCCCCACAGTCCTCCGTTAAGTTACATTTTAAAAAATTTATCAGTGTTTTATTTTTGCCCATGCTTTTACTGTGCTACATAAGAAATCTTTTCCTAACCAATGATTTAAAAGATTTTCTCCTTTCTCCTAGAAGTTTTATGGTTTAGCCATCTATTTAGGCTTCTGGTCTCTGATGAGTTGATTTTCATTCTTATACAACATTTTCAGTCTGAATGACTCTTGAGTGAGATATTTCCTTTAACTTTTTGAAAGATGTGGCTGAAACTATTTGCCGTTAGTTCCTTTTCTTTTAAAATTTAAAAATGTGAGCAATGTAAAGCATGCATATGGTTAGAACATCAACTTGTAGTGAAGAATGTCCACCCCAGCAGTTCCCACACTCAGCTATGCTCTCAAGAGGCAACCTCTTAAAACATTCCCCCTTTGGTCTTCTGGAATAAAACATTTGTCTAAATAATATCATGCCCCTATTTCCTCCTTTTCAACCTGAAACTGCAGTTCAGATCTCCTGTTTTGAAAATATTTTTTACATCTCCTTTCACCACTTTTCTATTTGAATTACCCCCTTTCCCTGGTTTATTCTTCTAGGCGTCTCTGGTTTACAATAATGCCGTAGAGTTTCCTTCACCTGCACTGTTAAGCGTCTGCCATCTGTATCATAGCTCTCTTATTGAACAGAAGCCTGTATTTTGATGTAATGAGAGCCATTGATTTTTTTTTAATGGTTTGTGCTTTTGTTTGAGGACTTTTCAGCACTCTGCTCTCTATTGATTTCCAGTCTCTCTTTTTCACGTTGAAGTCCTTAATCTATCTAGAGTCTTCCCCTGTGTCTGGGATCAGGTAGAGGTGCAGTTTATCTTTTTTCTTCTGTATTCTGTATTCCCAAGTCATTCTCTAAGCAGTCTTGTTTCCCCACTAATCAATTAAGCAATTAATGTTCAAAAATATTTATTTGAGAGAGAGAAAGTGATTGAGCAGGGGAGTGGGGAGAGAGAGAGAATCCCAAGCAGGCTCCACGCTGTGAGGGCAGAGCCTTACGTGGGGTTCAGATGCACGAACCATGAGATCATGAACTGAGCTGAAGCCAAGAGGTGGACACTTAATGGACTCAGCCACCTAGGGCCCCCCATTAATTTATTTTTATATTTTATCTGATATTAAGTCTTATACAAACATGTGGGTCAGTCTCCAAGTTGTCATTTTCCCTTGTCTGTTCATCTGTTCTTGTGTTAATTTCAGTATGTCTTTATTAAAACACCTCCCTTTACCACATCCCAGTATCTGATAGGACGCTCCTGCCGTTTGTTTTCTCTAAAATTGACTTCACTATTCATAGATTTGTCTGTCTCCATATGTATTTTTAAATAACTTCCTTGAGTTCCTTTAAAAAAAAAAAAAACAGCTAGAATTTTAACTGATACTGCATTTCATTTATAGATTAAACTAGAAAGAATCAACCATCTTATAATATCAAATGTTCCTATCTAAGAGCATGGGATGTCATTGTATTTATTCAGATCTTCAATCTCATTTATTAGAGTTTTTGTTTCCACATAAAAGGATATTGGATTCTTGGGTCGTTCCTAGATATTTCATAATTTTAGTCATTGTAATTTATGTCTTACTTTTCTTATATGTAATAGTTGGTGATTGCTGGCATAGAAAAAGACCACTGATTTTTTTTTTCCTTTTTTTCCCCCAAGTTTTAATTTAAATTCCAGTGTTAGTTAACATACAGTGTAATACCAGTTTCAGGTGTAGAATTTAGTGATTCAACACTTTCATACAACAGCTGGTGCTCGTCACAAGTGCCCTTCTCAATAAAAGTATGATACACTTCAGGAATTTTCATGTCGTCCTTGCACAGGACGATGCTAATCTTCTCTGTATTGCTTCAAGTTTAGTGTATGTGTGCTGAAGCAAGCACAAGACCATTGATTTTTGTAATTGGTCTGAAGTCTTGTATGTTTTTTAATACAGCTGCTCCTTGAACAACATGTTTTTGACCTATGTGGGTCCACGTCTATGTACATTTTTTTCAATGTATTATTCTTCTGATTTTCCTAATAATCTTTTCTCTAGCTTACTTTATGGTCAAAATGCAGTATATAATACCCATAATATATAAAATATATGCTCATCGACTATGTTATCAATAAGGTTTCTGGTCAGCAGTAGTCTATTAGTAGTTAAGTTTCTGGGGAGTCCAAAGTTTTATGGGGATTTTGTGATACATGGGTGTCAGTGTCCCTAATCCAGGTGCCTGGGTGGCTCAGTCGGTTAAGCATCTGATCTCGACTCCAGTCATGATCTCATGGCTCCTGGGTTCAAGCCCCGCACGGGGTTCTGTGCTGACAGCTCAGAGCCTGGAGACTCTGCTTCAAAATCTGTCTCCCTCTCTTTCTGCCCCTCCCTGGCTCGTGCTCTGTCTCTCTCAAACATAAATAATCATTTTAAAAAAGTCAACTTTAGTTTTATGGTTCTTTTAATTTTTCTAGGTAGATGTTCATTATACCTCTTAATTGCTTTATTTTATTTTATTTTTTTTTTGTTACGGCGTGGTCTAGGGTGTCCAGAACTGTATATTAAATGGTGGCAAGTGCCACTGGACATCTACCTTGTAAGTTGGTCATAGGAAAATCCATCTAAAGTGTCACTGTTGCATTTATCATCTTAAGTTGCTGTGGGGTTTTTGGTATAGAGCCCTTAGCAAATGAATAAAGTTCAGGTCTTCTGGAAAGCAGACATCAAGGCAGAAATCAGAGGTAGACATGCAAGTCATTGGCCTATTGATATGATGGGTTTCATTGCTTGACATTTGAATGTTGAACTAGCCTTGCATCCCTGGAGCAAACCCCACTTGGTCATGAGGTACAGTTGTCTTAAAACATGACTGGATTCAGTTTGCTAATATTTTGTCAAAGATTTATGCACCTAAGTTCTTGAAGGGGGTTGAAGTATATAGCTTTATTTTTATGTACTGTCTTTTGCACCTTGGTATGAAGGTAATGGCGACCTCCTAAAGTGAGTTGGGAAGCATTCCCATCTCTTCTCTTCACTAGCAGAGATTTTGTATAATTGGTGTTAATTCCTTGAATGCTGGAGAAATTCTCTGTTTGAAAACATCTGGAGCTTTTTCAGGAACTTTCTATTTATAGATTCTGTTTTTGGTGGTTATGGGACTATTCGTGTATCTGTTTAATCCTGCTGAGTTTCGGTAGTTTGTGGTTTTCAAGGAATTAGTCCATTTCTTCTCAGGTGTCAAATTTCTGACATTTGTGACAAATTTATTATTTATATCATCTGCAGGATCCTTTGTGATGCCCTTCTTTCATTTGACATTGATGATTTGTCTCTTCTCTCTTTTTATCCTTGCCAGTTGAGCTAGAGGTTTGTTAGTGTTAGACTTTTTTGACAAATATATTTTTTGTTTCATTCTCTCATTTTCATGTTTTAATTTTAATTGATTTCTGCTCCCTTTTAAATCTCATTCTTTCTGTTTGCTTTTCGTTGTTTGTCTCCTTTCTCTTCTCTTTCTGGGCTCTTGGGCTAGGAACTTAGATTATTGATCAATATTTTTTCTCTTTTCCAATGTCAACACTATATTAGCTGAAACCCATGGAATTTGATATGTTGTGTTTTCTTTGTTTTTAATTAATTTTTTAATGTTTGTCTATTTTTGAGAGACAGAGTGCAAGCATGGGACAGTCAGAGAGAGAAGGAGACACAGAATCTGAAGCAGGCTCCAGGCTCTGAGCTATCAGCACAGAGCCCAACGTGGGACTTGAACTCTTGAACCACAAGATCATGACCTGAAACCGAAGTTGGATGCTGAACTGACTGAGTCACGTAGGCACCCCCGTATGTTGTATTTTTAATTTCAATTTTCATTCAACTGCATTCATTTATTTTTATTTTCAAATTTCCTTTGAGACTCCTGCTTCCACCAGCAGATTATTTAAAAGCGTGTTGTTGAATTTCCAAGAATTTGGAGATTGCCCTGTTGTCTTTCACTTACCGGTTGCTAATTTAACTCCGTTGTGTGTAAACAACATACTCTGGATGGTTTAACGTTCTCTTAGATTGGTTCAGGTTTGTTGTATGACTGAGGACACGGCTTTCTCAGTGAGTGGCCCATGAAACTTGGGCGGGCTGTGCGTCCTGCCGTTGGTGGGTGGACGGTTGTGTAATGTCGGGCAGCCCCAGGGGGCCGTGGCGCTGCGGGTCCCTCTGCAGCCTTGAGGGTGTCCTCTCTAGGAGTTCTAGCAGACGCCAGGAGCTGGGTCTTGAAATCCCTGCGCCTGTGTGATGTTTCTCTTTCATCTCCACCTGTTTTGCTTTCATATAGTTTGAAACCTTGCTGTATGCTACACACAGACTCAGGATAGCTGGGTGGTGCTGGGTTGGCTGAGCCTTTATCATTCTGTGATACCTGCTTTTGTTCCTAATACTTTTTTTTTTGCTCTGAAGCTTACTATCTTTGATGTTATTATAAGCACTCTTGTTTTTGTTTTTTTTCTATTTCATGTTTGCCTGATATAGCTTTCCCTTTCTTTCTTCCCTGCTTATCAGTGGCGTTATTTTGAAGTCATTTTTCCTTCACGTGATCAGGTCATGTGTATTACCCACTCTGTCTCCACCTTTTTTCATTTAAAATTTTTCCAACTTTACTGACAAATAATTGATCTTGGTCTTTTTTTTTTTTTATAACAGTACTTTCTTTTTTTTTTTTAAGTTTATTCATTTTGAGAGAGAGAGCAAGAGAGCATGAGCAGGGGCGGGACAGAGAGAGAAGGAAAGAGAGAGACAGAGAGAGAGAAAATCCCAGGCAGCTCCACGCTGCCAGAGCAGAGCCCAACATGGGCCTCAAACTCAAGAACTGTGAGATCATGACCTGAACTGAAATCCAGAGTCAGATGCTCAACCAGCTGAGCCACTCAGATGCCCTAGTCTGTCTTTTAATTGGTATATCTATACCACTAATATTTAAAAGAGTCATTGATATGTTAAAGTCTGCCATTTTAGTATTTTGTTTTCTATGTCTTCTTTTTTCATCCCTTGGTTTTTCTTTCCTTCCCCTTCCTTCCTTCCTTCCTTCCTTCCTTCCTTCCTTCCTTCCTTCCTTCCTTTCTTTCTTTTGTTGTTTGCTTTCTTGTGAGTTACTTGAACATTTTTTAGCACTGGATTCTTCTTTTATTAATTTTTAAAAGCTTATTTATATTGAGAGAGAGAGAGATAGAGAACAAATGGCAGAGGGCCAGAGAGAGAGGGAGACACAGAATGTGAAGCAGGCTCCAGGCTCTGAGCTGTCAGCACAGAGCCCAACATGAGGCTTGAACTCACGAACCGCAAGATCATGACCTGAGCCGAAGTCAGACGCCCAACCAACTGAGTCACCCAGGTGCCCCTGGATTCCTCATTTATGATATATATTTTTTCCTACCCCTTTGCATAACTTACCCATGGGTGTCTCAGCTGTGACCTGATACTGCCACCTGTGCTATCAGTGTTTTGCCCTCTGGGCTAGAAACCTTACCTCCATTTAGATCCCTGACCCTCCCCACTTCTTAAATATAATTGTCTTCAGCGTTTCCTCTACATGCATTGAGCACCACACCGAATGGCGTTATGATTTTGGCGAAACTCAAGTGGGGAAGAACAGTCTGCTACGTTTGCCTCTGTATCTTGTCATTCTGTTGTCCTTGTCTTCCTCTCTGAAGGTGCCCTCCTCTTGTCTGTTGTCACTTTCTGCCTTTGTCCGTTCGGGCTGCCGTGACATGTGTCTTGATCCTGGGCACTTGAGCAGCAGCCCGTCCCACCACTTCCGGAGGCCGCGAGTCCAAGAGGAGGTGTTGGCAGGTGCGGCTTCTCCTGCGGCCTCTCTCCGTGGCTTGGAGGCCGCCACCTCCCGTGTCCTCACAGGGTCTTCCACGTGCACAGACCCGCGGGGCGCTTCCTCTTCTTATGAAGACCCCGGATCCTGTAAGAATAGGCCCCCAGCCTCATAATCCCGCCTAAACGTGGCTACCTGCTTACCGGTCTTCTCTCCAGATGTAGCCTCCTTGGGGCTTGGGTTTCCACATAGGAATGGGGGCGGAGGGGGACACAATTCAATCCACAACTTTTTTTTTTAATGTTTGGGGAGCCTCCTTTAATAATCTTTAAAGGTAGGTCTGTCAGCACCAAATTCTTTCAATTTATCCTTCATCCGAGAAGTCTAGTTCCCCTTCAGTTTTGAAGGATAGCTTTGCCAGATGGAGGATTTAAGGTCGACAGATCTTTTATCTCTTGAAAAGTGTGCCACTAACTTCTGGCTTGATGGTTCCAGATGACAAATCTGGTGTCATTAATTTGGGTTGTTTCTAAGTTTTGTTTCATTTTGTTTTATTGTTGTTTTTAGTTTTTCAGAAGTCTAATAGTGATGTGTCTTTGTTTGGATTTCTTTGGGTTCATCCTATTTGCATTTCTCCCAGCTTCTTGAGTCTGTGGTTTTATGTCTCTTGCCAAATTTAGGAAGTTGATAACTATTGTTTCTTTGAGTATCTTTTCAGCCACACCTCCTTTGTCTTTTTTTAGAACTCGGATGATAAATGTTGGCCATTTTGGATATTGAGTTAGATATCTGTTTCACAGATCCCCAAGACTACACTTTTTTTCAGTCTGTTTTTTTCAGTTTTGTTCAGATTGAATGAATTCTATTGATCCGTGTTCAGGTTCATTCATTCTATCAAAAGTCATCTCCATTCTACTACTCAGTCCATCTAGTGGGTTTTTATAATTTTTATTTCTTTGCAGAAATTTTTTATTTTTTAATTTGTCTCAAGAGAATGTGTCATTGTTTATTGAACATTCTTAATACAATGGTTTTAAAATACATGTCAAATAATTTCAACACTTTTTCACTTCAACATTGGCATCCATTGAT